GGATAGTCCTGGAAAGCAAATGAAAGAAGTTCAAACAATGAAAAAGTACTGAAGCTGCCAGCCGGTTCCCATTCGTCTTCCAGAATTAATGTTTAATAGCTATGATGCTCAGATTTGCTTGGAGATTGAACTATGATGAAGAGTCTTGTTCGATTTATGTGTGTGTATGTATGTTTACTGACACATATATGTTTGTGTGTGTGTATGCATATACAAAGCTGTTAGCTTTAAAGCTTCGCGTACCTGGACTTTTTTCTGCTGAAGCCACTGGGCTTTTAGGGCGCTTGAGGTTTCTTTGTGGGAGGAAGGTCCATATTTCATTCAGATTTTGCTATTCCCTGCCTCGTAGAGAAAGATGCTGAAGAGTTGTGCACTGAGCCACGTATTGATTTGGTTAACATACTCTACAAATTGTACTCTCCCTGGGGAGCGATAAACATCTTATAAACAACAATGGAAGTAGATTAAAAAGAACACCGAGCGTTTAATTTAATTAATGCCACTGCTGAACAAGTACTACGTGTTTGTGTGTGTGTGTGAGTGTGTTTAAACTGAAGCACGGCTTGGAGGAATTTGGTTGGGCTCCCAAACCAGTCTGCTTTCCCATGCTTGTCAGTTTGGCAAAGAAATTTGGGGCAGGTATGTGACGAGGTGAAAATTGACTTGATGAGCGAGTGGCAAGGAGAGCCATCAATCACTGGAGGCTGACAACTCCTCCCCAAAGTGTAGGCTGAGAAGAGAGACAGAGTTCCCTTTCAAGGGGAAAAATAAACACTACGTGTGGCTTTCACTGAGTCTCAGACTCCAGGAGGGATTATGGTATTGTAGTCAGGAAGCCAGAATTGTGGAGGCCAAAAAGCATGCTGAGGCTGTGTTCCAAACATTGAGATAGAGGTACATAATTATCCAGCGCAGGAGGTCTTTCCAGGGGCTCGTCCCCCAGCAACTGCGGCGATTAAACTACGGAAAGAATTTGGTTTCGTTTCGTCTTCATCGGACTCTGCTTCTTTTGGGAAAGGGTGATCCTCGAAGCTTGGTCGCCGTCGTGGTGGTAAAAAGTGGTTTGGCTCCACGGATGGGTTCAGAACTCTGATTTTTGCTTTGCTACGCCTTTGTGAGCCACGGTTTTGAATTTTCTGCTGCCCTCTGGATGTAGAGCCCCTTCTTTCTGCTGGCAGATGTTCAGGTGTGGAACCTGGCAAAAATCTTCAGGTGAGAAGACGGGTGGTCAAGTGGCCTTGTGCTACTTGTGCGTCCTCATTTAGGATGAGGGTAGGAACCACAGCCATGCTTCCAGTGGCGTTTAACGGAGCCTAAAAATCTGAAACGGCTGAAATGTGAGTGGAATTAATGCTGCTAAAAAAGAGTCTGGAATATGCTAGCATTCTGGTATGTTTTCTTTTTGCAAAATTATGATTGAATTTTGCATTTGTATATATAACCTTAATCGGAGTTTTCAAGATGATTTATGGAAATTAAATTGGTATTACATCCAGTCTCTTAATTAGTGTTTCTACCCACTTTACAGCTGGATAAACGGAGCTACGGAGCTGTGGCCGTCGGACACCGAGTCAGGAGGTTGCCCTGGGTGGTAGCATCCAGGAGGGTTTGCTCTGGTCCTTTACCGGATGCAAACCAGTCCTGGAGACAGAGCTCTCTTCAGTTCTATGCCTGCTCTGCGCTTATTTTAATAAGTGCTTGGCAAGCTCTTTGCAAATGTTTGTGCACTGGTCTGGTGGTGGTTGCACTGGAGATTTAATAGGAGTTGCTAGCTTGTGGTCTGGGATGCTCATGTTGTGCTTAAGTCTCTAAAGGAGGGACAGAGCTTTGAACTGATAGCAGCTGAGGTGGAAAAGCTTGCCCTGAAGTATCAGGGATTCACCTGAAATACCGTGTATTAATTATTTTCCCCAAATGCCTTATTTATGTCATCTAAAATCTGTTTCTACTGGCTCCAGAACTTCCTGTACACAGTGCCCAAGGTAAAAGATGCCTCAGCAGCGTTTCTGTCCTTAGCGCTGTAAACTTGGTTTGTGTGTAGCAGGCAGCAAAAGGCTAATATAATCGGAATAAACTTTTAATGGTTGGCTTTCTAAAGGGAGAATATTTGCTCATGTTTCGGTGTCCTGTATGCTGAGGTACCACACCACATCCAAATGACAGGGAGTTTTGAGAAGTTTGCCTTTATCTCTGCCTTTTTTTTTTTTTTTTAAAGGGTGAGGGCAGGAGGGAAAAAGAGGTTTTATGTTATTTTTCCCTTCGAGTGCTTTCTAAGCTTCGGTTGGGTTTCATCACATCTAAGATGAATCATTGGCCGGATTAGAACAATTGCAGCAGTTACTTGTTTTATCCGTTTACTGAGGTTTACCGTCTTTTATTTTTGAAGCGGAAAATCAGGTCTAATTTTCTGGTTGAGCTGTTTAATCACCCTGTGAGGATGCTCTTCTGACCCTCACCTGGCATCTTAGTGTGGTGGCAACAAGGTCCCCTGAAGGGAGTGCCAATTACTTTGGTACTGCTTCTCTTCTCTCGTCCATCAGCCCATGCCTGGATTACCAGTCAACTCCATCCATTTAAATGAGTTTACTGTGAATAAAATAGTTTTTTTTTTTTTTCCTCCTGTCTGAAAAATTATATGTCAATAAGCATCTTTGAGAGAGAGATGGAAAACAGAAACGTGTCTGCGTGTGTGAGTGTGCTGTGTGGTTTGGAACATATGAATGGAAAACGATGCTGGGGAGATCTGTGAAACTGCAACCTGTATCACACTTTATATAGGTTTGAATTGCTTGTAATATAGTGTAGCTAACCAGTATCTCTGGAAAGACTGGAGGCTTTCACCAGTACGGGGCTCTCGAGCTTTAAAAGGACTGAGAGTAGAAGGTGGTACATCCATAGGGGAGCTGGAAACCCTGAGGCGCAATAAAGTTTTACGTATTATCCAAGTCTAAAGAGTATTTTTCAACTGTTTTTTTTTTTTTCTGATGGAAAAGTACTGAATTTTTGCAAATTCAGCTGGCTGCAGAACTGCCTAGGTGAAGGAATGAAAAACAAGGCAAAGTTACATAAATCTTCAAACAATAACACGAATATAATTTGTATAATTGTGGTAATTTTGTAGCATTACAGGTTATGTGCCTGCACATGCGTGTGCCTCTCATTTTTTAAGAACTGTATATTTTTCTGTCAGTAAAATAGCTCTCTAAATATGTGCTGAGAAGCGATTTCGTGAAAACAAGGAGGACTTGGTTACGCCTCAGGTGATGATGGAAACTGCTAACAGAAAATGAAAAGTCACTCACTTTTCACATATTCTTGAAGCTGGAAAACTCTTTCTCCCATCCTCCTCCTCCCCTCCCTCTCACCTCAGCTCTGTTTGGGCCTTTCTGAAGTTTTTTGGTTTGTGTTTTAAGATGCTTTTCGCTGACGGTGCGAAATCTCTCTCCTCCCCACAGCAGCAGCCGTCGTTCCAAGGGAGGAGGTGTTACCCCGGCCGAAGGCACTGCTTTCTCTCCATGCTTCTCTAGAGGTGTTCAGATGGGATTAAAGTCCACATGGAGATATGGAAATGGACCAGGAATTTACTCTAAAAAGATGGTCAGCTGGGATTCGGGTTGCCTTATCTGCCTGGTGGTGGTCACCATGGCCGGACTTTCCCTGGCTCGACCTTCGTTTAATTTAGTTGTTGAAGACGCCACGCTGGAACCTGAAGGTAAATCGCTCTAGGATCCTTAATTTCGCAAAATGAGTTAATTTTAAATGTCTGAAATAGAAATCAACATCTTTATGTGCCTTGGTAGATTTAAGTAACAGATTAGCCCTCAAGAGTGATGTTTTTTGACTTTTCCTGCTCGTGCATGGGCTGTGTTGATGCAAGTGTGCGGTCACTTAATCTTATGCAAGCAAGCGGTGTCAGTGATGTCACTTGGGACTGTCATCATGTTGCATAACAAAAGTGTACGGCCGAAAATTTTCAGGAATGGGTCTTTAAGGAAGCCAGTCTTGTTGCACTTACTTATGAGTTACCTCTTGCTGTCTTGAATGAAATGGCTGTATAGCTGCGTGTCTTTGTGATTGTCTTAACCTGGGAAGTTTGGAGAAGGATAAATCCCAATAGTTGTCAGTCACGTGGCCCGAATGTTTAATTTTGCCAGGTACTCTGCAGTATTGCAGCTTTTATTGGTGTTTGTTCTTGGTTAGAGTTGGTTTCCCTGTTGCTGTTCATGTCCACGAACAATCGGTAGGGTGTCTGGATTGCAAGTTCTGGAAGTGTGAACATTGAGATCTGAATAGCAAGGAGTGCAGTTCATTCCCGTGGAAGCAAAGGCTAATTGGGACCTTTGCATTGGAAGAGGTGTTTTGATAAAATCTGCTGTTTAGAGCCCGCACTTGTTGGTACGTTCTGCTAGGTATATCCGTTCCTCAAGCTTTGCAAAGTGGTTTTCTTCTCTGAAGAGCTGAGGAGGGGCTGCTTTTTTATTGTCGTGAACTGATTGGATTTAAGAATGATTTTACTGTATTGTGTAGGACCTTTCCTGCTCTCTGAGCACTTTAAAGGGAAAGTGATTCTTCCTTCATAAGGTTTCATCTATCCTTTGGAGGCATTATTACCTTTCTAATAATTCAACTGTCAAACCAATGTAATAGTCCGTAGAGCTTGCTGGAGAGAATTTGACCTTTTACACATTCTACTCTTCATGTCCACGGATACAACTTTGTTTTTATTTAATACATTTTCATGCAAAACTTATTTGTTTCTATCCACTGCCTCTAAAAATAGACGTCACCAGCTAACGCGTTTTTCGAATCCGTGCCAAGTACATTTTTATTGATGGCAGGGGATGATCTGCGTAGAGATGATGAGCCCTCCTCCCTAGCAAGCATTCCTGAAAAAAATTAGCAAAGTGTAGCAATATTGTCATCTGTCAGCCATAGAGATTGTTGATAGCAAAGATTTTTGTTTTGTTTTGTTCCTTTTGAAGGTAACTGGAGAATTAAAAAAAAAAAAAGAGCCCAACTCTCATCACCACTTACTGTATGATTTGTTAATTGCACATCTGGTGCCTTTTTGGCTTTTCAGAGGAATGACAAAATCATGAATAATTCTGGTTTCAGATTGCCCATTTGTAGTGAGGTCTCCTGGTTTTAGGGTTAAATCAGAAAGAATGTGATTGCATGATTGGTGGAGTATTTACAGGGAGAAGAGTAATATTTTTTTGGATGATGCCTTGATAATTTTTCAGCTTTTCAAGGAAAGAATACCTTTTATTATTTTAAAAATATATTTCTTCCACAGCGAATATCCAGGGGGTGGAATCTGGGTTTTATCAAAGAGTAGATTGTTAAAAAGGATTTAAAACTTCTTCCCTGGGCAGGAATGTTACTGACATGAAATAATTTTAGATGTGAGAACCCAAATCGTTACCAGAAATGAGAAGGAAAAAAAAAACCCAACAACAAACACTGTCCCCAGAAAAACGCTTTTAAGTTAATGGTATAATAAGAGCTTTTATGCTGCAGAATACAGGGAATTGTGTGGGATTTATATCTGAGATTTGGGAAATAAAACCTTCTTTATGTACTTTGTTAAACACTTTTAAAAAGAAATACTGAGTTTTTACACAATCACCTTCTCTGGGTTCCATCACTGCCACCCACAAGCTCTCCAAACTGAAAACAAAACAAAAAAATCCTTCAAAAAACCTCTTCAAAGACAAAGCAGGCTTCTTTTTTAATTTAGTAAATGCCAAACGTTTTGGCCACAGCTAATTTGGGAGGTCAGGTGCTCTAATAATGTAAATTTTCGGTAGGGCTGCTGACTTTGCAGTCATTAGAGCTATGACATTTCATACCAGCTGAGAAGGTCGACAGGGCCATGACCTTTGGTGACATGTGTTGATCTATTCCTTAGTCTTCCTTCATGGACATGCCCTAAATTTTGTCTGGGTTTTTTGATGTTAAGTGCTTTAATTTTTGCTGTGTATAGTCCTAGTGACTCGTGATATTCAAAAAGCTGTATGCAACGGTAACAGGAATTGAGTTTGTGGCTTTTCATTCCTTTGGTCATAGAGAATGTACTCTTGCCTCTTCACTAAAGGTAACTTTAGGGGTGTTTGGAACCGTTTTCTTCAGAGTATCTGGTTAAGTATGTACTTTACTACCAGCAGTATTTATTTAATAAGGTGATCAGCTGCATGGGTATGTGCAGGATAGGTGCAAGATGTTGTCATGCATGGAGGTACTCACTTTTGGTTATCCGTGGTCAATCTCATCTCTTCGGTAGCACACGTCTCTCAGATGCTTCTGTAAAAAGCTGGTCTCATCGAGCTCTGGGTCTCATCTGTGACCATGAGATATTACTCTGGTACATATGAAAATGTTTACACTGAAGATGGAATCTTGAGCCCTTGTAAATTTTAATGTCGGTATTGATATCGTGGGTGCTCTCTAAGGGCTGGATCCTGAGCATGGTGGTTGTTGGCTGTGGTGCTTTCTTCCTTAAGCAGTGATGGTGAAATCTGAGGCTGTTAAGCAGCGTGAGCAGAAACAGGACCATAGGAGTTAGTTTGGGGGTTGTCAGCTATCGAATTATATCTTGCATCAAGTGTGTACAAATATGTTGGCTATTTTTTCAATCCTAGGAAATATAAAGACTTTCTGCTTTTAAATTTTAGAACTAATTCTACCTCAGTGCGTACAAAGGAGCCGTTCTCTCTCTGTGTACCCAGGCTGTGAAGGCCTTTGATGGCCAACGTTTCAAAAGGGCTCTGACCGCACACATAGGCTGAAGGGTTACTTTGTGAGCTGAATAATTAGTTTAGACATATATTTGATAAATAGCAAGCTCTCCCTTGACCTTCCCTTGCCCAAGCTGTGTGTTATCGTTCTGCTGGGTAGCTAATTTAGTCTCTTTCCCCCCCCTCCCATGCAATGCCTTGACACTGTCCTTGGAGCACCCACTCGAAGCTCTCGCCTGGTGCAGTAACAATGTGTTTCAGTTCTTTTAATTTAGGTCAAATTTCAAAGGATTAATTTAAGCTTTCCACAAGGGAGAGCCTAATTCTCTGTCCTGTGAAAAACAGAGTAGTTCAAAAAGTCCGTAAATGTGCGTTTGGGAGGTTCCTAGGAGCAGTGGTGAAGGAGGAAGACCTTCTTTAATGGGTGCTATGTGCTTATGGTGGGCTCCAAAGTCAGTAACGAGTCGTCATTTGGGTTTTAACTCAGTCACAGCTATTTGTTGCCATTAAACAACACACAAACGTAAACACGTTCAGTACAGTACCCAGAGCAATACTGCCCTTTTTGTAAAAATGTTGCTTAATATGAGTGGTACACCTTTTTTTTTTTTTGTAAAAGTGGTGGCAGGGCTTAAAGGTTATCACCTGTGGTCACAAGGTTATCGACACCTGTGGTCACAGTGGTTAGCACAGTCTACTTGGAGATGACTCGTTAGCTGCCACGACATGTCTGGATCAGGATGGGGAGCAGCCTGCTCCCCATCCTGGTGTGTCCCCATGTCCCTCAACCTCCTGTGAGGTTGCAGGGCTGGTGGGACCTCGCACAGTGGGCATCATCCTAGGGCAGAAGCGGCGGAGAAGCTCCTGGATGCTGCATCCCATTTGGTAGGAAAAATAAGGGGAAAAGTTCACCTGAGGTTCCCTTGTTACATTTTCTTTTCTTTTT